CTAATATTTCTCGATTTTGAACTGATCAAATATAAACAGACTAAACTGAATGATAACAAATCAGTATTTTCTGAAGAGAGGCTCAATAGCTAAGTATAGACAGTTGAATCTCTAATGGGGTCCGTGTCGTTAGTTAGCTGGACTCTGTTCGCGCATCATTTCTTGAAACTGTATGAAAATTTTTTCAGATTTATAAAAACTGGCTCTTTTGGTATGGCAGTAAAGCTTTTCTTGTATTTTTTAACCAAAAACCTTGGGGAGGCTTATAATTTAGTGAAAAACGTCTTAAATTGTAGTTCGATACTGAAAAAGTACAGTTTTTGAAACATAGCAATGCCTGGAAATGTGAAAATTTTTTTTGTTGAAATATTAACAAGGAAGCTTTTTCATAGTTATCCTTTCTTGCTATAATCTATCATCTCTGCATAAACTCAACAGTTTGTGTGTATGAAAAATAAGACTACTGAAATTATTGTTAACTGTCTGATTAGTTACAGAGTCAGCTAAGTTTATTGAAATAAGGAGCAGAATAGCGTTAAGATTTGGGGAAAGGTGGGCTGCCTGAAGAGTAACAGTGAGAGAAGGAAAACACTGTTGTCGCTTGATACCCGTTGCGTAACGCCGTGCAAACAGTTCTGCTCCCTCTGACAGAGAAGCTAGTTTTATACGGAAATACGGTATTACAGATACTGCCGAGGGGGGTTGGAGGGTTACGTAGTCTATGAAAGCGGCACGCTCTTCTGAGACGTTAGTCGCTCACTAAATTTTGTTGACTTTCACATGATAGTTTGATCTAGTAGGATTGAGCCACTGTGACAAGATCTAAAGTATTTTAATAGCTATTCTCCATGACTTTTCGAAGCAGCTGAAGATAATTTCGCCACTGTACATCGCGTGCGTTCACTGAGAAAGTGGTAAATTATTTTCATTCTGACACACCATTCCAGTCCGTAGCTCTTGACTTAATTGTGGAATTTTACGCAGGAAAAAATTCTATACAAAATATACTTTTTTAAGATCTGCATTTCTTCCACATTTTTCTGAAATTTTGCTTTCGTCTTATCTATCCAGCTACTAAACAAAACAATAAATTGTAATATTTATTTGAAAATTAAAGACGTCTGAAATTGAATAAATCGAAAACTGTTAAATCTTGTTAAGGTTGGGCTGAGTTGTGAGTCTGGAAAGGTAGGCGTGTCGAACGACCTGGCAAAATTTGCAACAATTTAGTAGACCAATTTGTCGGGAAATCAACTTTTCGCTCCTCTGTCTTTAGTTTTTAAGTCCTTGATTAGGCTCTGCCAAAAAGCATATTTTAAGAGATTTTGAGATGTCAGTTAAAAACGATGAGCAAACTGCCACGGGACGGTCCCATACGTGCGATGTTTAATGAATTTTGCTATTTTTTGTCCATAATTGCTCTGTTGTTTCTTCTTGAACTTCGTTTCTTGATTTTTTCCGGCCGCAGATTCTTGTGACAGTTGTGTATGTTCAGGTTTAATTTCTTTAGGGGCTAAAGCATTCAAAAAATGTCGCGCCGTTTTAGTGGCTGTAAATGCCAAAGTAAATCTCTGCCATTAACCTTTCGTTTGAGGACGAAATCCCTACTGCGATATCTTATCGTACGATACGCAGAATAAGTTTTTGTGTTCCAGTTTGAAAACAATATTTCATTTGTTAGTACCTGTTGATTTTTACAATGTAAAATTTTTACAATGTAAGGCTGAAGATACCTTGTAAAAGGAAAGCTTTTTTAAGAAAATGATCAACTTCTTCTAAACACTACAACTTTTGAGGCGTGGTAAGAAATGAATAACTGCGTTTTTCCAACCACCTAATCATTTTAAGTGAGAAATTGCATGGTAATTTCACACGTTTACCTCTGTGGTACTAGCTCTTACGTTGAGACTATTCAGCTCAAACTCACTTCCAGGGCTCGTGATGATCAGTGCGAAAAGTGCATAATTTCCTGATTGTGGAGCAAAATTTACTGTAGCTGATTACTTATACCTTCAGAATAAAGTTTCTAGACCAGGAGTTTAAAAGAAATTGTCAAAATTATAAGAAAAATTGTGACTTTAGTGCTTTTTCAAAACAGACAAATATGAAGACTTTCAAAAGCAACTGTTTATTGACAAAAATGTAAATGATCATTTTGTTATACTGGGATTGACACTGCAATAAAAATTTTTAAATTTTTTTGGCGCACTAAAACACATCCTCAATTGCAAACTCTGCCTAAAGAATTCTTCGATTGAAATTTTAAATCCAGAGACGAGCGAGTCAATTTAAATCCTTAAAAATTGCTGGCGGACTGATGGTACCCCTCTCTGCGTGTCACTTTTCGGTTCCTGACTGTTAGAAAAAAATTTCAGTGGTACGAGTATCAGCGAAAATTCTGAAAGTATAAGCAGGACCGGCAAGCTCCAAATTTTAAACGTTGTTCTGCTTGGAAAAAAGTATAATTTATATGGACAACACATACTTCACTAAAATGTTCCAAGTATCTTCCGCAGATAGATATGGTCTCCAAAGGACTAACTAGAAAATCGTTAGCTTCGTCCTTTGAAAGCAGGAATTATCAGGATTAGTAAGTCCCGAATAATTCCAACTTAAAGGAATATTACCAACAAGCTTTGGCTTAGAAGACGTTATCAAAGTTTTGTATTCTAACAAAATATGTAAGAATCGTTTGAAGAAAAGATTACTTTTAAAGAAATTTTGATGGTTTAGGTCAGGATCCTCTAAATCAAACGTAACAGGCAGTTTTTGAACTTTTAGAAAAGCAAAACCTACTAATTATAACCAGCAAATACTAACACACGACTGTCAAAATTTGTCCGCATTCTTAAACGTTGCGAAATCTAGAGGTTTGAAGTAACTGTTCACCTTATAATCCAAACTCTTTATTCTAGAAAAAAGAAAAAAAAAAATAGCGAACTGTATGTATCAGCTCCCAACAGCGTGTCAAGAAATGCTCATCCTATGATATTCTAGCAGCGCCTCAAATGACAGTCATACTGCAAGTGTGCCCAAACTATTAACTTTTTTCGACTTCACAGTGAACAATACTCATTTAAGCATTATTGGCTCTTCTAATTACTAAGGTGATTACGAAAGATGTTAAGATAATTTTTGCGAAGCCCTGACGGGAAAAATACAGACAAAGATACAGTCAGAAAATTTGCAGTTTTTAGGGGATCAAAAAAATTTTACATTGAGGACAATGAAGGATTTTAGTTTAAAAATTTTCAATTTGCACTTCCATTTTTTTGATCATTGTAAGGAAACCTTCAGTCCATAAAGTTCACAAACGCTTCATACTTGCAAAGAGAAAAAACTCAGTTATTTAACATTCCGTAGCTTCTGAGCATTTAAAAAACGAAAACAACCAGCAAAACCACTTTGTCTACCTCACCTACGGCTGTGGCGGTTTCTCTATACAGCAGGTGCGAAACACAGGGAGCAAAAGACATTGCTTAAAATAGGGCCCCTAAAATCAGAGGTCAACACACTGGTTCCTTAGAAAGTACGGTGGGTGAATAAAGCATGTCCAGAATAATGTACTACGAAAATTGACAGGCAAAAAAATTTATGTTTCAGTGAACTACGTGGAGGTTTTTTTGTGATCTTTTTAATTCTTCTGCTGCATACTTTTCAACGCGTGTTTTCCACACAACCACTGAAGAAAAATTTTCTTCTTGAAGTTCATCACAGAGGTGTTGTGTGAGCACTCAACAGCTACAAAACTTCTGGAAAACCTAACCATTTCTGGTAATGCCAACATCAAACCTTGTAGAGCAGGGCCTCGGCGTCACAAAGTTCAAAAAATAGAGGTACAGATATACTTTGGCCTAGACTATGATGAATTCTTTAAGGTGAGCAAATAAATACAGAAGATATTTTATTGGAGCGAGGGCGAAACCGTCTGCGTCTTGAAAAAAGTTGCCCCAGGGGAAAATGTCTTGGCGCTTCTTTTTGGGGTGGTCGCAACGGAAGTTATGTCGTAGTGTTCACTTGTTGATAGGCCCGGGCAAGATGGCTTTCTGCTTGCGGCTGTTGAAATGTTTCGTTCGTGGATTTTGTTTCTAGTTTTTCGAGTGACTCTGCTACGTTTTCGAAGTGGCTTTTGTAGTGCTGTTCTGTTAGATGTTTTGCATCCAAGCTTCTTCTTTTGCTTTTCGGTGATTTAGAGATACTTTTACGTCGACTAGAACTTAACTTGAATACAGTTAGTCAGGTTTCAATTTAACCAATGAATTGGTGTATACAGACGGTAGTAACGAGGGCAGTTTTATTCTGGTTTTTTGAGTACTTCTGGCTTAGGTCTCCATTTTTATTCAGAACTTTAGGTAAGGGGGGTCATTACTTTAGTCGGGCATTGCTGCACTTTCGCATTGCTTTTTCGGCTAGGTGTTGTTCAGTTCTTTCTTATTTCACATGGTCTCCTAAACATTTTTTATCCCTGTGTTTCTTGTTTTTGTAGGTTTATCGAAATGATTCCTATAGTTAAGATAAGAGGACTTCCATTGTCGGCTAAAAGCCATGATATACGAGCGTTGTTCGGTGGACTGCTGATACCAGATGGAGCTGTTCACGTTATTGGCGGTGCCGAAGGGCTTGCGTTTATCGCGTTCGGTACGTTTGAAGACGCCAAGCAGGCCGTAAACTTTACAAATGCTGAAATTCATGGACACCCTATCGTAGCTGAGTGGTCAACAGAAACGGAAATGTGTAAAATTATTAGTGATGTCTTACGCTCACGAAACCGAATTTTATCCTCAGAATTTAATGACCATGCTGCACCAGTAGAGGTCAGCCGTATAGAGAATGCGCAAGAATTGGCCAATAGCTCGTTACAGGTAGATAACCCCGGTAAGCAGTTGTGCCTGAAGCATTTTCCTTTTTACGTGTGGGAGCTTTTAAAGGGTAGCGTTTTTGTCGATGACTTAACTGTGAACTTCAATCAATTCGACGTTTGAAATTTAGGTTTGGAAAAGAAGAACAGAACTTTTTCAGTGTTTGGAACTTCAGTGAAGCCTGAAATGGCGTCAGGGAATACTTTGTCGTGTTATCAAGAGAAAAATTATTTTTCACCTGGTTCACCTTTGAACTTAAGGTATTCTTGTCTCCTTATTGACAAGAGAATATTTTAGTTGCCTTTATAGAGTCAAGAGTTTTTAACCTCAATCCAGCTTTCAGAATTTCCGAAATAACTGAAGAATAACTGAAACAAAAAGAGCCTTCGTTGATCTTTACTGGTTTCGACCTCCCGCTTTTTTTCGATTCTCTGAAAAATCAGTTTTATTACTGCCCTGAACAAGAGATTTTTGTTTTCAGTTATTTGGCTCCGAATGCGTTAGCGCAGCAGGAGCCTAGAATCTCTCCAGAAAGCTATCTCCAGCAGAAGATCTTCTCTAATTATTACAAGCCAAATGAGGTGTGAATTTTCACAATTTGTAGTCGTCAAAATCTTTTTACAGACTTTAAATGATGCACTACTTAAGTGGATGGTTTTTCATGATTTTCAAGGACAGATTTGTTTAAATCGG